TACTTAAAGAGAGCCAAATCAAGAACGAACTGCCATTCGCAATTGCTACAAAGAGAATAAAATACCTAGGAATACAACTCACAAGGAACGTAAGGGAACTCTTCAAGAAAAACTACAAAACACTGCTCAACGAAATAAGAGAGGACACAAACAGATGGAGAAACATTCCATGTTCATGGTTAGGAAGAATTAATATCGTGAAAAAGGCTATATTAATCAAAGTAATTTACATAATCAATGCTATCCCCATCAAGCTACCATTGACTTTCTTCACAGAACTGGAAAAAACCACCATGAACTTCATATGGAACCAAAAGAGAGCCCGCATAGCCAAGTCAATTCTAAGCAAAAAGAACACAGCGGGGGGCATCACACTACTGGATTTCAAACTATACTACAAGGCTACAGTAATCAAAACAGCATGGTACTGGTATCAAAACAGAGATATAGACCAATGGAACAAAACAGAGGCATCGGAGGCAACACAACATATCTACAACCATACGATCTTTGATAAACCTGACAAAAACAAGCAATAGGGAAAGGATTCCCTGTTTAATAAATGGTGTTGGGAAAACTGGCTAGCCATGTGCAGAAAGCAGAAACTGGATCCCTTCCTGACACCTTACACTAAAACTAACTCCAGATGGATTAAAGACTTAAACATAAGACCTGGCACCATAAAAACCCTAGTAGAAAATCTAGGCAAAACCATCCAGGACATAGGAGTAGGCAAGGACTTTATGAACAAAACACCAAAAGCATTGGCAGCAAAAGCCAAAATAGACAAATGGGACCTAATGAAACTCCATAGCTTCTGCACGGCAAAAGAAACAGTCACTAGGGTGAATCGGCAACCAACAGAATGGGAAAACATTTTTGCAGTTTACCCATCTGACAAAGGGCTGATATCCAGAATTTACAAGGAACTCAAACAGATTTATAGGAAAAAAACAAACAAGCCCGTTCAAAAATGGGCAAAGAATATGAACAGACACTTTACAAAAGAAGACATATATGAGGCCAACAATCATATGAAAAAATGCTCATCATCACTGGTCATTGGAGAGATGCAAATCAAAACCACATTGAGATACCATCTCACGCCAGTTAGAATGGCGATCATTAAAAAATCTGGAGACAACAGATGCTGGAGAGGATGTGGAGAAAAAGGAACACTTATACACTGTTGGTGGGAGTGTAAATTAGTTCAACCATTGTGGAAGACAGTGTGGCGATTCCTCAAGGCCTCAGAAATAGAAATTCCATTTGACCCAGCAATCCCATTACTGGGTATATATCCAAAGGACTATAAATCATTCTACTATAAGGACACATGCACACGAATGTTCATTGCAGCACTGTTTACAATAGCAAAGACCTGGAACCAACCCAAATGCCCATCAATGATAGACTGGATTGGGAAAATGTGGCACATATACACCATGGAATATTATGCAGCAATCAGAAATGATGAGTTCGTGTCGTTTGCAGGGACATGGATGAATCTGGAGAACATCATTCTCAGTAAACTGACACAAGAACAGAAAATGAAAAACCGCATATTCTCACTCATAGGCGGGTGATGAAAAATAAGAATGCATAGACACAGGGAGGGGAGTACTAAACACTGGGGTTTATTGGGGGCAAAAGGGGAGGACCAGTGTGGTGGGAGAGCTGGGGAGGGATAGCCTGGGGAGAAATGCCAAATGTGGGTGAAGGGGAGAAAGGAAGCAAAACACACTGCCATGTGTGTACCTATGCAACTGTCTTGCATGTTCTGCACATGTACCCTCAAAACCTAAAATGCAATAAAATATTTAAAAAAAAATTAAAATGGACAGATAAGAATAGTACTATTAAAGCATCTGGAGATTCCAAGAGAGGAACAATGTGCTATCTCTCAGTCTGTCATAATCAATAAGCCAACCTAAATTAAAACCATATGACAGGGAAACAAACTCAACAAAATAGGCCCTTAAAAATAAATAAATAGATAGATATAAATGGGCTAAATGCCCCAATCAAAAGACAAAGACTAGCAAGTTGGATAAAGAGTCAAGACCCATGAATGTAGTATATTGAGGAGACCCATCTCACATGCAAAAACACACATAGGCTCAAAATGGAGAGATAGAGGAAGACTTACCAAGCAAATGGAGAGCAAAATTTAAAAAGAAAATAAAAACAGGGGTTGCAAACCTAGTCTCTGATAAAACAGACTTTAAGGGACCTTAATGGTAAAGGGATTAATGTAACAAGTAGAGATATCAATCCTAAATATATATATACCCAACACAGGAGCACCCAGACACATCAAGCAAGTTCTTAATGACCTACAAAGAAGCTTAGACTCCCACACAACAACAGTGGGAGACTTAAACACTCCACTGTCAATATTAGACAGATCAATGAGACAGAAAATTAACAAGGATATCCAGTACTTGAACTCAGATCTGAACCAAGGGGACCTAATAGAAATTTACAGAAATATCCACCCCAAATCCACAGAATATACATTCTTCTCAGCAGCATATCACACCTACTCTAAAATTCACCACGTATTTGGAAGTAAATCACTCCTCAGCCAATGCAAAAGAATGGAAATCAAAACAGTCTCTCAGACCACAAGGCAATCAAATTAGAACTGAGGATTAAGAAATCACTCAAAACCACACATCATAGAAACTGAACAACCTGCTTCTGAATTACTGGATAAATAATGAAATGAAGGAAAAAATAAAGATGTTCTTTGAAGTCAATGAGAACAAAGACACAATATACCAGAATCTCTGGGACACATTTAAAGCAGTGTCTAGAGGTGGATGTGGGAGAAGAGTAGCAGGCACAGGAGAGGAATAGGGAAGAAAGGGAACCAGGGCCTTTGGTTTCTAGCTCCAGGCCACCCCGTAAATATGAACTAGCCAATCTCAAACAGCACACCACACAGTGCAGGCTGTGTGTCCCTGGCCCCCTCTTAGGGCTCCTCTTTCCTAATCTCACCTGAGCTCACTTGTCTTCTTATTGATTCCTGCCAAAGTCATCTCCTCCTTAGAATCTGTATGTGCTGCTGTCTATATATCATCTCCTCTAGAAGATTTTGTACTGAATAAGTAGCAACATTTCTTGAAAGAGGAGATTTAATTCTAGCCAAAAGGTTTTATTAACTAACTTATTGTTATTAGGCAATTAAAACAAGACTTGAAAACACTCAATTATCCTATGATTTAAAGATGACCCTTACTTAGCATGTGATATTTGTTTTTCCACTTTTCCTTTTCAACACAACATGTGTGCACCATGAAGGTCACTGCTGCACACTGACTCCAGCATTGAGATAGCCCGTCATGCGAGCAGTGCAGAGGAGGGGCACTGATCCTCTCCAACCCAGCTCTGCATGTGATTCCAGCTGGGAAAATGGGGCCAGGCTAACACCCAACTTGATCCTTAAGGTTTTAAAAGATACTATGTCTTGGCATTGGGTTCTACTGAGTTTCTAAGGCTTGTGGTCATTATCTTTTTAAATATGATAGAATATGTCACTAATTGTTCTCTGATTTTGAACAGAAGGTGAGGAATGACTCCACCACTGTAGACCAAAAGCCTGTGAACTCTGTATGTTTTACATTAACGATGACACTAAAACCCACTGTATAATGTACCTACTGAAACAAACCCTGGGCAAGTTGACCATTCAGACCATCCAATAATGATAGTATCTGGGATCTGAATAGGTTTTCATTCTTCCACATGCACACAGAAGTGCTGGAACAACTTGATATAGTAAGGAATTATGCTAGGGCACACCACAGCTGACTGTTCAATATACCTACACCAACACTGGGTTATGCAACCATTGAGACTAACAACAATAGACAGTGTTTGGGATTTCCATACATTTTCACGCTTTCAGGTGCACCCAGAGATGCTAGGACTCCCTGGCATAGTAACGAATCATACCAGGGCATTATGATGATTCCAGTGCAGTAGAACATAACATCATCTTTTCCCCCTCTCCTGAGCTCACAATTGCCTGTTCCATTGAGGAGACAAAAACATAAAATGTTCACCACTGCCTCATCTCTGAAGATGGGAGTATATAACTAACCTTCACATTCAGATGTGGTAGAGGATGAAGGGACTTATTTATGAAAGTGCAGTGGTGATAAAATTTGTTTTTAGAACGTTAATCTTTGTGTTGTGCATTGCACATGTTTTCTGGGGGAAAGCACACACACTTTCAAACACATCCACAATCACTCCATGGAGACTCTCTCGCTTATACCTCCTGACCCTAATGCACACCATCTTATTCTATCTAAATGATGCTCCTGCTTCCAGAAACTAGAGATCATCTCAAGTTCTTTAATGGACTCTCCATTGTTTTTACACCAAACTGCTCAAACCTCATTTCCAGCAGGAAGCTCCCACCAGATTTGTTTTCCAGCAAACGTAGACTAGAAAGTACCACCGTTGTCAACACTAAGATTTTTCCGTAGCAAAGGGGTGATCCCAGAATACATACCGTCATTCAATAAAGTTGAGTGTCACTGCATTTAGGAAAAAAGCAGGCATGACCCTCTTGCCTGACTATGAGGGTCAGGCATGCTGTGTCTTGTGTGCACAGGTTTTGCCTTCACTTGGGGACATTACAAAACCAGGTGAGAAATACTGGTAGAGGCAATAGCCCCAATGCCTAGAAGATGTCTTTGGAAAGGCACAATGTTTTTATCCATGATGCCATGATGTTTCCACTTTATTTTCATCAAATTCACTTTTAAAAAAAAAAAAGTATTTATACTGAAAAAAATATGCTTCCTGCCACACAGTTTGTAAAAAGCTGTCAACTTATGGATGCCATCTTGAATCATACTTAGTTGGAAAAAAAATTCACTTTGCATTATCCCACAAAGAAAGGGTCATCTATAATGTATAGTGTAAGATTTCCATATTCTAATTAAAATGAACAACAAAATACCCATTTCAAAGAAAGACTTTACCTTGTAAATGGCTATAACTTGTTCTGTTGAATTTATCCCAGGAAGGTTTTCTGCTAGAACAAATTCTGTATGAAGAAAACAGAGTAACAATCAACACATTGTTTCCACCAAAGGAGCCACTCTGGTGGCCTTGTGTGCTGGCCTGTGTTGACAAGCTGGGGTAACAGCACACGTTGAGCTGCTGCTGGCCCATCCCGCTTGGTGGTAAAGGCAGGCAAATGGGATCATAAGAAGAGCCATGGACAATGAGGCCTTGGTCCTCTAGCTGAAGCAAGCTCCTCAATGTGAGATAGCCCATCTCAAGCAGGGTGCACCACACAGGGCAGGCCGTGCTTCCCTGCAGCATTTCAGGGTTCCTCCTTCCTAAACTGACCTGAGCTAACTTGCCCTCCCTTCGTGATCCCCTCGAGGTCATTTGCTCCTCAGGATCCACATGTGCTACTGCTGTGTCCCTCTTAGATCATTTCGTACTAGATAAAAAGCAACCTTTCTTCAAAGAGGAGACTTAATTCCAGCCAAAATATTCTATGTATTCACTAAACTTTTGTTTTAAAGAAGACTATATCAAGACTTGAAAATACTCGATTATCCTACCATGCTCTTGCTGGCACTGACTCCAGCACTGGGACAGTGCATCCTTGGGAGCAGCAGCTGGGAGTTCTGACCGTCTCCAACCCAGCTGCACAGAAGATTCCAGCAGAGATGAGTACCAGGACAACACCTACGTATTTCCTTCAATTCTTTTTTGAGATGGAGTCTTGCTCTGTCACCTGGGCTAGAGTGCAGTGTTGTGATCTCGGCCCCCTGCAACCTTCGCCTCCCTGCAACCTCTGCCTCCCTGAGTCATTGGGACTACAGGTACATGCCACCACACAGGGCTACTTTTTGTATTTTTAGAGACTGGGTTTCACCATACTGGCCAGGCTGGTCTCAAACTCCTGACCTCGTGATCCACCCGCCTCAGCCTCCCAAAGTGTTAGGATTACAGGTGTGAGCCACTGTGCCTGGACTTTCCTTCAGTTATTTGGTACTGTGTCTTGGGTTTGTGCTGAGCTGCAGCATATGTAAAACTTGTGGTGATTATCTCATTAAATATAATATGTCTGACTATTTTCTGCTTTTGACCAGGAGCTGAGAAAATAATCCAGCACTGCAGCCAAAATCCTGACCTCTCAATGTCTGTTTCCCACTTCTGACCACACCAAAGTCCACTGTAAAATGTACCTATTCCTACACCGAGTTATGTGATGTTTGGGACAATCCTGTGAGAGTGACAGTGTTTGGGATTTCTGAAGGCTATCAAACTTCCATATGCACACCTAGGTGATATAACTCTCTCACATAATGACAAATTATACCAGAACTATGTGATTACTTCCAAGTAGTAGTGGTGGCATCAACCTTCCACCCACTCCTGAGTTCATCTCTGCCTCTTCCACTGAAGAGATAAAGAGCTTGACAATCTCATCTCTGCACTATCTCCATCTGATTACTGGAGACATTAAACTTACCTCCAGCTACAGATGTGGTGGAGGATAAATGGGCTGATTTACATAAGGTGTGCAGTGGTGATGAAATCTTTATTTACAGCATTCACCTTTGTGTTGAACTGTGCACATGGAAACATGCTTTCTGGAGAAATGTACACAAACTCCCAAAGACATTCACAATCACTATACACAGACTCTCACCTTATAACCCCCACCTTGAGGCATCCCATTCTATTTCACAAAAATGACACTATGGCTAACAGGAACTATAGAGGAGAGCCACCACTCTTCAATATACTCTTAATTTCTGCCCAAATCTTGTTTACCAAAAGGAAGCTCTAATGACAGTGCCTCATTAGACAAAGCAGGCAAGAAAGTGTCACCTTTCTCAACACCAAGATTTTTCCTAAGCAAAATGATCCCAGAATACGTACTCATCCATTGGGTAAGTAAAGATGACTCTTCCTGCATTAAGAGAAAGAAAAACACTGAGGGTAAGATTATGCTGCGTCCTGTGTACACAGGTCTTTTTCCTAACTGTTACTAACAGGCGCTATTAAAAAACCAGATGGAAAATTGTGGTGGAGGCTACAGCCCCAAACATAAAGCCTGGAAAACACTTGTGGAAAGGCACCAGCTTTTTGGGCAGGATTTTCAAGTTTATTTTGGTTGTAAATTCATAATTTTCAAGAAAGATTTTCCCGGGCTGGGCGCAGTGGCTCAAGCCTGTAATCCCAGCACTTTGGGAGGCCGAGGCAGGTGCATCACGAGGTCAAGAGATCGAGACAATCCTGGTCAACATGGTGAAACCCCGTCTCTACTAAAAATACAAAAAATTAGCTGGGCATGGTGGTGCGTGCCTGTAATCCCAGCTACTCAGGAGGCTGAGGCAGGAGAATTGCCTGAACCCAGGAGGCGGAGGTTGCAGTGGGCTGAGATCGCGTCATTGCACTCCAGCCTGAGTAACAAGAGTGAAACTCTGTCTCAAAAAAAAAAAAAAATTTTTCTCCTGAGGAAAATGCTTGCTGACATAGTTTATATGAATTCTCATTTTACATTTTCCTACCTAGAAATTCACTAAGTCATCTATAATGTACATGGTAAGATTCTCAAATCTTTATTCAAGTACAATAAAAAGAAACATAGGAAGATAAATAAAATATCCCTTTCAGACAAAGGAAGAACTTTTACTGTGATAAGCGAGAGGGACCCCTGAAAGGGTTCCATATGGGGACATGCTGCAGGGTACTCTTGTTGATCTAGGAGACATAGGGCAAGTGTCACCACATGGATTCTACTGAGGAAATCCCTTGCGTTGTATTGGGTGGTGTGGACAGGAGGCTGGCTTATGAAGGTGAGTTATAGCAGATGGAGCTGTAGACCCATCCTCCTCATCTCACTCTGTTGCTCACGCTGGACTGGTGTGGCGTGATCTAGGCTCACTGCAACCTCCACCTCCCAGGATGAAATGATTCTCCTGCCACAGTCTCTCAACTAGCTGGAATGACTGAAACCCACCACCACGTGCAGTTAATTTTCGTGTTTTCAGTAGAGACAGTGTTTCGCCATGATAGCCAGGCTGGTCTCAAACACCTGACCTCAAGTAATTAACCCACCTCGGCCTACCAAAGTGCTAGGATTACAAGCACGAGCCATCACACCCAGCCTGTTCTCTGCTTTTAAACAGGAGCTGAGGAATAACCCAATCACAGCAGCTTGTAACCTCTCCATGTGTGTTTCACATTTCTAACCACAGGAAAGTCCACTGTAAAAGTTACCTATTCTAATTCTGGGCTATGTGACCATTAAGACCATCCCATAATGATAGAGAGTGCTTAGAATTTCTATAGGCTATTGTACTTCCACATGCACACCTAGGTTCTCAACGTCACTGCTAGGGTGATGAGTTATACAAGGGCTGTGTGATGAATGCAGTGTAACAGCCCACAGCATCAACCTTCCACCCATTCCTGATTTTGCACTTCCCTCCTCTATTTAGAAGGCCATGAGTTTGGGAAATTTATCTCTGTAAAAACTGGATCTGAGGAGTGGATACATTAAACTTACCTTAAGCTACAGCTGTGGTGGAGAATGAATGGGTTGATGTATGTAAAGTGTACATAAATCAACTATTAAAAAAAGTAATACTTGTGTTGTACTTTGAACATGCATAAAAATTCCCAAGGACATTCACACCCACTGCACATAGACTCTCTCTCCACCATACCTCCCAAACCTGAAGCACACCACCCTCTTTCATGTAAGCAACAACTTCACAAAAACACTACAGAAAGACGGTACAATTCCTTACCAAACTCTTAGTGATTTTTATACAATACTGCCTAAAACCTCTTTTCTGTTAGGAAGGTTCAACCAGATAAATTCTGTAACAAAAAGCAGGGTAAAAAGTGTAATCATTCTGAAAAACTAAGGTATTTCCTTAGCAAAAAAGTAATCCCTGGGAGTGTAGGCAAGAGGGAAAAGATCATTAGTACAAATACCTAGTGCATGTGAGGCTTAAAATCTCAATGATGGGTTGATAGGTGCAACAAACAACCATGACACTTTTATACTTACATAATAAACCAGCTCTTTCCACACATGCATCTCAGCACTTAAAACACCACACACACACTGAAGGTAGGATACAGTGGCTAATGACTGTAATCCCAGCACATTGATACGATACTTACCAGCTTGCTGCAGTCCTGCAGCCTCCTGTAATAACAGAAAATAAATTGCTATGAGCATCAGACCATGCTGTTCCCTGACTTTCTTGCACTTGGTGACATTAAAAAACAAGATAGAAACAAGTGTTCAATCAAAGAAGCCCAAAGGAAGAACAGAGCACATCGACTATGCTAAAGACAAGGTTTTCTTGGATGATGTTTTCTTCCAACCATGTTACTTGGCCATTAAGCGATTTTAGTCCCCAAAAGAAAACAAACCTGCTAAGGCAAAAAACTTGTGACCACAGAGTGTGTGGTTGATGCTGTCATTTTCTCCCACTGTCTTGAATCGAGTCTCACTCAAGAAGAGACTCTGGTTCAAAACTCCCCCAGCCAAGGAAATTCTGTAAGTCAGCTACAATTTATATGGAAAAATTCTCATATCTTATATAACATTTTCTGATGTTAATTCAAGAAAATAAAGTCAAGAAAGCAATCGTTTAACTCAGACACATCCTGTGGCCTGACATTCATATCCCATTGTACCTTGTCCCCTGCAGCATCCACGGAAGGGTCCTCCTGCTGAAGAGCAGGCCCTAGAAAAATGCAAAGTGACTGTCAATACCTGGTGTTGTTGCTCATTAACAACTCAGGGGCATGCTACGATGTGAGTAAAGGAGGAGGGTGGCAGGAAAAGGACAGAAGCAGAAAAGAAAGGGAATCAGGGCCTTTGGATTTGTAGCTCCAGGACACCTGGAATAGTCCATCACAAACATGGCACACCAAACAGGGCAGGCTATGTTTCCCCGAAGCTTCTCAGGGCTCTTCCTTTCTAAACAGACCTTAGCCATCTTTCCGTCCCTTCTTCACCCCTTTCAAAGTCATTTCCTCCCACAATTCACAAATAGTGCTACCCTGACTATGACCCCATCTACAAGATTTTCTACATGATAAGGAACAAGCTTGACTCAGATAAAATATTACATTCTGGCCAACATATGCTATTGTATTTATTTTGTCTTTCTAACAATTTTTATTTTAAGAGATAACAGTGCTACTGTATTTATTAACCCTTAGTAAAAACTTAAACCAACATATGAAAATATTCAGTGATCCTATCACTTGAAGATAACTGCTACTTAGCATGTGGTATTTGTCTTTCCACTCTTTATTTTCATCACCTCATGTGTGTTAAATGGGGTCTACTGCTGATCATACACTGGTTCCAGGACTGGGACAGCCCTTCGTGAGTGGCAGAAGGTGTGATGCTGATGCTCTCTAACCCAGCTGTGAAGAATCTAGCTACACAAGGACCACCTGTCAGGTGACTGCCAGAAGCTATTCATTGTGCCACGAAACGGAGATCAAGCTGGGTAACTACCCTCAAGTGTCTGGCCTAACCCTCAGGATCATCCCTACTGATCATGTCCTCCCTGGGCTAAGTTGAACATTTCAGGAACTCACTCCTGTTCACTGTCTCTCACTAATTTCTGGTGGTGACCCTGCCATTGACACACAGAAACATGGAGAAGACAAGAAAGTAGCTCCTCTTAAAAAGCTCTTAGAAAAACGGCTACCATTCAGGCCAGCCATGAAGTTGGAGCTCAAGTCCACCTTTAGATGAGGCTTGAACATTCCAGAGATGCCCAGGTAATAGTGTAAAACTCATTCTCCTGGTATAAGCCTTGGCTTCCCCTCCACCTTCATGGCGTTTCTGCCCTCATGCCTTTCTTCTATTCCTCTAAATCATGTATCTTGGCAGGCCCTGGCCAAGGCCACAGCCTGCTCTCTCTCTCATAGAGCCCACTGGGCAGCTGTCTATGAATCATACATCCACAATGTTGCTAACTCTGATCTCAACCTTTAATCACTCAGAGCAGAAATCCCACCGGGTACCAAACAACAATAACAATAACAAAATAAAACCAAAACAAATCCAAAACAAAAGCTAAGGATGTTCTAGGGATTAAAGAGGACTTAGGGATATTGGGTTACAAGGAGACGGCTTCTGAGGTTAACAAGAAACATTTGAAAATCACAAAAGCCTCAGTGTTTTTAATTTTGGGATAAGTACTGACACCTATACAGCAATAAAATTCAATTTATATACAATAAGTTTCCACAAAATGCATACTCCAAGAAAAAACTCAAGATGTATCAGTTGCTATTCATATTCATATTTAACCAAAACCCACTGCTTTCCCTTGTTTTTTGCAAGAATCTTGAGAGGCCAACAAGAACCACTGTCAAGTTTGGATTCAACAGGGACCTAATGCAGCCTCTGTAGTTCCACAGCCCTGTTTGTTTTTGCCACCTGCAATGCATGACCACCCTTAATCCTGCTAGGAAGGCAAGTGCTCACCAGGCAGCCTCTGTAGTTCCACAGCCGTGTTTGTTTTTGCCACCTGCAATGCATGACCACCCTTAATCCTGCTAGGAAGGCAAGTGCTCACCAGGCCTCTCAGACCCTGTGCAAACCAGGTGGTTCTCTTTTCCTGTTGCCGTGTTTCTAGGCAAACACACAGCAACAACAACTAGGCTAAGGGAGAAAAGGCAGAAACTCTAGATGACCTGGCACTATTTATTCTGGGACATGTTAGCTGATGTGCATTATGATGCCTGAATAAATAAAGTTGGGGTTATTTCACCCTACCCCTGCTTGCAGGCTCCTCTCTTCTCAGTTTCCCACAAGAACTGGCCATAGCATGAGGCTGTGCCAGGGTCTAAATGCACAGAAAGGAGCCCCAGCCAACCCTCCCTGCTCAAGATGGGCCATGGATGATCAACTTAGAGGGCCTTGGTAGAAAAGGCTTGTGAAGCATGGAAATGGCTACAGTGAGCCACACCAATGCCAGGAGGAAATAGAAAGGCCTGTGAACAGGTGAGGTTTATTTGAAAACCAATTAAAGCAGGGAATTGATAATGAAAAAAAAATAAAATGAGCAGATATCCTGACACAGTTCTGTTTTTCGGTACACCTTGAGAATTGGCCTGGGTGTTGACAGAACTTCTTTTAGGTTAATTAAAGTGTCCTTTGCATGCAATCAACTGCACACATCGTAAGCTTACAAGTTGATTTTTTTCCTGTGCCTATAGTGAGACTGCAATGGTGACAAAAATCCCTGCAGAGAATGTGAACACTAGGAAATCTGGGGATGTGAACACTACGGAAACCAACACACACAACCCAAGACACAGTGGCCATGGCACCGCATGAATTCACAAAAGACCTGGGCCAGCCCCATGCATAGGATTCCACCCCACCTTCAGAGAATGCAGTTACTCCCAGAGACTTCAGAATGTGGCCATTGTTTCTCATCTGGTAAAATCATTTCTCCCACTGCTGCCTAAGTTCTCATTCACAACAGGAAGCTCAACTCAGGAAAGCCAGGGAGACAGTGACACATTCCTCATCTTCTGGATTACTCATCAGCATGACAGGAGTTCCCCAATACTTACCAGCTTGCTGCAGTCCTGCAGCTTCCTGTAATGACAGAAAATAAATTGCTATAAGCATCAGGCCATGCTGTGTTCTGACTTTTCTGTAATTGGTGACAACGAAAATCAAAATGAAAAATAGTGTTCAATAAAACAAACACAAAATAAGAACAAAGCAAACCAACTCATGCTAAAGACAAGGTTTTCTTGGACAATGTTTCCTTCCAAACATTTTGCTTGGCCACTAAATGATTTTAGTCCAAAAAGGAAAACAGACCTGCTAAGGCAAAAAAAGTGTGACCCCACAGTGCATGGTTGATGCTGACATTTTATCCCACTGTCTTGAATCGAGTCTCAGTAAAGAAGAGACTCTCACCCAAAGCTCCCCCAACCAAGGAAATTCTGTAAGTCATCTACGATTGATATGGTAAAATTCTCATATCTTATATAAGACTCTCTGATCCTAATTCAAGAAGATAAAGTCAAGAAAGCAACCATTACACTCAGACACATCCAGTGGCCTGTCATTCATATCCCATTGTACCTCATCCTCTGTAGCGTCCACAGAAGGGTCTTCCTGCTGAAGAGCAGGTCCTAGAAGAATGCAAAGTGACCATTAGCAAATTGGTGGTGTTGCTCATTAACAATTCAGGGCCATGCCACGGTGTGGGTGAAGGAGGAGGGTGGCAGGAAAATGACAGGAGCAGAAAAGAAAAGGAATCAAGGCCTTTGGGTCTGTAGCTCCAGACCACCACAATGTGAAATAGTCCATCTCAAACATGGCACACCACACAGGTCAGGCTATGTTTCCCTGCAGCTTCTCAGGGCTCCTCCTTTCTAATCTGACCTAAGCCATCTTGCCCTCCCTTCTTCATCCTTTGCAAAGTCATTTCCTCCCACAATTCGCAAGTGGTGCTGCTCTGGCCATGACCTCGTCTACAAGATTTTGTACTTGATAAGGAACAACCTTGCTTCAGAGACAATGCTGCATTCTGGTAAACATAAGCTAATGTATGTATGTATGTATTTATGTATCATTGCAGCACTGTTTACAATAGCAAAGACCTGGAACCAACCCAAATGCCTAACAATTTTTATTTTAAAGGATAACAGTGCTATAGTATTTTTGACCCTTAGTAAAAAGTTACCAAAATACAAAAATATTCAGTGATCCTATCATTTGAAAATAACCCCTACTTAGCATGTGGTATTTTTCTTTCCACTCTTTACTTTCATCTCCTCATGTGTGTCACATGGGGCCCACTGCTGATCATACTCACACTGGCTCCGGGACTGGGACAGCCCTTCATGGGTGGCACAAGGTGCAACACTGATCCTCTTTAACCCAGCTGTGCAGAAGAATCTTACACAAGGACCACCTGTCAAGTGACTGTGAAAAACTATTCTTTGTGCCACCACAGGGAGATCAAACCAGACAACTACTCTCAAGTGTCTTACCTAACTCCCAAGTTCTTCCCTGCTGACCATGTCCTCTCTGGGCTAAGTTGAACATTTCAGGAACTCACTCCTGTTCACTGTCTCTCACTAATTTCTGGTGGTGCCCCTGCCATCAACACACAGAAACATAGAGAAGACAAGAAACAAAGTAGCTCCACTTAAAAAGCTCTTAGAAAAACAGCTACCATTCAGGCCAGCCATGAAGTCGGGGCTCAACGTAGCCTTCAGATGAGGTTTGAACACTCCAGCCACGCCCAGATGATGGTGTAGAACTCAATCTCCTAGTGTTGCACCTTGGTTTCCCACCCCCCACCTTCATTTTTTTGTTGCCATCACTCCTTCTTTCTATTCCTCTAAATCATGTTTCTTGGCAGGCCCAGGCCAAGGACATAGCCTGCTCTGATAGAGTCCACTGGGCAGCTATCTATGAATTCTTAGAGTCTGAATATCACTAACCCTCATCTCAACCTTTAATGACTCACAGCAGAAAGCCAACTGAGTGCCAAAAATCAACAACAACAACAAAACAAAATAACAAAAGTAAAGGATATTCTAGAGATTAAAGAGAAATAGGGGAATTCAGTTATGAGGAGATGGCTTCTGAGGTTAATGAGAAACATTTGCAAAAACCTCGGTGTTTAAAATGTGGGATAGGTACTGACGCCAAGGTTCCACCAAATGCATATTCCAAGAAAAAAAACTCAAGCCATACTTGGCTCAGTTGATATTGATGTTTAAGAAAAACCTACTGCTTTCACTTGTTTTTTGCAAGGGCCCTCAGGGGCAATCAAGAACCTTTGTCAAGACTGGGTTCAACAGGGACCAAAAGGAGCCTCTGAGGTTCCACAGCCATGTTTCTTTCCCAGAACCTGCAATGCATGACCACCGTCCATCCTGCTATGAAGGAAAAGGATCATCTGGCCTTTCAGACCCTGTGCAAACCAGGTGGTTCTCTTTTCACGTTGCTGTGTTTTGGAGCTGAGCACACAGCAACCAGGACTAGGCAGAGGGAGAAAAGACCAGAACTCCATATAACCCTGGCACTATCTATTCTGGGCCACATTAGCTGATGGGCAGTATGAGGCCTCAATGAAGAAAGTTGGGGCGATTTCACCCTACCCCTGCTTGCAGGCTCCTCTCTTCTCACTTTCCCACCAGAACTGGCCATAGCATGAGGCTATGCCAGGGTCCAAATGCACAGAAAGGAGCCCCGGCCAACTATCCCTGCTCAAGATGGGCTGTGGATGATCAATTCTAAGGGCTTTAGTGGAAAACGCTTGTGAAGAATGGAAATGGCTAGAGTGAGCCACTCTAGTGACAGGAGGAAACAGGAAAGTCTGTAAATGGATGAGGTTTATTTGAAAACAAAGCACAGCAGGGAATTGTGCATGAAAAAAAAAATGAGCAGAGATCATCACACAGTTCTGTTCTTTCTTTTTTTAATTTTTTATTGCATTTTAGGTTTTGGGGTACATTTGCAGAACGTGCAAGACAGTTGCATAGGTACACACATGGCAGTGTGTTTTGCTTCCTTTCTCCCCTTCACCCACATTTGGCATTTCTCCCCAGGCTATTCCTCCCCAGCTCCACCCCCCGCTAGCCCTCCCCTTTTCCCCGCAATAGACCCCAGTGTTTAGTACTCCCCTCCCTGTGTCCATGTGTTCTCATTTTTCATCACCCGCCTATGAGTGAGAATATGCAGAATTCATTTTCTGTTCTTGTGTCAGTTTGCTTAGAATGATGTTCTCCAGATTTCCAGATTCATCCATGTCCCTACAAAGGACATGAACTCATCATTTTTGATTGCTGCATAATATTCCATGGTGTATATGTGCCACATTTTCCCAATCCAGTCTATCATTGATGGGCATTTGGGTTGGTTCCAGGTCTCTGCTATTGTAAACAGGGCTGCAATGAACATTCATGTGCATGTGTCCTGGCTAATTTTTCTATTTTTAGTAGATATTGGGTTTCACCATATAGGTCTTTTCTTTACTTGTTGACATTAAAGAAGCATATGGGAGATAGTGGTTGAGGCAATGGCTCCAAAATAAAGCCTACAACATAATACTGGAAAGGCACAAGATTTTTATGCAAGACTTTCAAGACTGTTTTGGTTGTAGTTACAATTATTTAAGAAGAAAGATTTCCCCTAAAAAAATGTTTGCTGCCATACAGTTCTTAACTGAAAATGTTATCTAAGAATGTCATCTGAGATCATTTCTTACCTGGTAATGAACCCTCACATTTTCCCACCAAAAAATTTTGTAAGTCCTCTATAATGTATGTGGCAAGATTTTCATATGTCAAATCAAATAAAATTTTAAAAAAGCAAGAGCAACAAAATTTCCATCTTAGACAAAGAAAAAAAAACTTACCATGTGAATGCCTGGGACAGCCTCAGATGAAGGCTCCTGCACCAGGTCCTCATTGTGACTTAGGAAACACAGAGTAACTGTCAGTATGTATATTCCACTGAAGGAATCCCTTAGGCAACCTGGGGTGTTGGGGACAGGGGGCTTGTGTGTGTGAAGGAGGTAGGTTAAGAACAGAAACTTGGCTGCCACTGGGACACCTTCCTTGGTGATGAGGAAAGGCAAATGAGACTCAGGAAAGCCACAGATCAGGGCCTGGTTCTCTGGCTAAGACCCCCTCGCTACTGTGAAATAGGCAGTGTTCACACAGGGTGACACACAAATGCACTGGTGATTTCATGACAGTGTCCCGTCATCCCCCTGTGCATTTTGAGGCCTGGTAAATGTCCTTTTTTCGTTCTTGAAACGTTATGTCATTCATCTCTCCTGGATCTACATATGCTCCTCCTGCACTTATCATCCATTTTATTGGCTTTAAAATCATTATTGTGGCCAAAGTACATAATAGTATTATTTTGATAATCAAGTGCACACTTCAGTGGCATTAGTGCCATTCACAATTCTGTGCAGTAAACTAAAAATAATCCATATCCAGATATCTTACTTTCCACCTTAGGAAACTAGAGAAAAAAGTGTAGTGTAATGTAAACCAGGCAACCTCCCTCCCTCCAAATATAGTAGTATTTGCAGAAATCAATGTAACAGAATTAATTAGAAAAAGAACACAACACCAAAAGCTGCCTCTTAGGAAAGATCAATACGATTGGTAAACCTCCAGCCCGGCTAATCACAAAGAAAAGATAGAAGACACAATGTACAAACAAAGGAAAAAAAATGAAAAAAGACACAATGTACAAATAATATAATTAAGAGAGAAATTATCCTTGATGATCCTATGAACATTAAGAAAATAACAACAGAGTAAGTTGAACAAATCTATGCCTGCAATTTTTTTAGTGCAGGAGTGAAACTTTATTAAAAACTTTTAGAGGATTGACAAGAAGCGCAGTACCCTTGGAAGAGAACCAAGCAGGCAACTTGCGAGTTTCAAGTGTTTATGCCCACAGATTTTCTAGCTTAGATGAAATAGACAAATGCCTACAAAGGGAGCAACTACCATAGCTACCCAAAGGAGAGACAGATAGTCTGGGTAGGCTTCTATCTATTATAGAATTAAATCACTAAGTAATAACTTTAACAAAACGATTTTACAGTTGAATTCTACCTAACTCTTATGATAGAAAATATAGTCTTACCAGCACGTGATCAGAATTCTACATATTTACCCAGCTGAATTTAGAAATTATGTTCATCATAAAATGTGCCCAAGAATGTGGGCAGCTTTATTCATATTTGTCCAGATTGGAAGGAGCAGCTGAAATGATTTTCAGGAAGTGAATGAACCAACTGACACTGTTTGACAAACCCAATAAGGTATTATTCACTGACAAAAAATTTTAAACTGTTAAGTTTCAAAAAGATATACAAGATCGTACATGTATATTGCTATGTAAAGTAAGTTAGTCATGAGGAGGTACATACTCTATGATTCCACCTGTATAAAATTCTGGAAAAGGAAACCTATGCAGGCAATAAAATCATCCATGGTTTTCAGGAATCATCAGGAAGAAAATCAGGAATTAATAGGTGCAGCACAAGTCACGTTTAGGATGTGAAATTATTCTGCCAGGGTAACAAAGGACATTGTGAGTTTGTCAGAACCCATAGACCGGACAACACAGAATGAATCTTCATGCTAACCCTAGACTATTACTAATAAGAATGTACCACTATTGGCACAGTCATCATCACAAGTGTTACCACACTCACATAAGATGTCATCACAAAAAGGAACCTGAGGAAGGTGAGTATATAAAAATTTTCTGTACCACTTCCTCCTTTTTTAGGTTAATTCAAAACAGTTTGAAGTGACGTCCATTATTTTACAAACCTGGCAACATTATCTCAGAAAAACATTCTTTTTCCTTAATATTTAACAATCAGCAAAATGTCTACAAGTTGAACTCAGGTGTTCTTTATTATTAAAAATAAACCCAAATCAGGAATAAAAAATATACACCTTTACTCCTGTAGGAGTGCTCCTGTAGCACTAGTGATTGACTTAATACATTTAAATTTGCACACATAAAATAAAACTATAGTGTAGCAATTTTATAATTGTCTGAAATGAGAGACAATGAAGAATCTAGAAATCGTATCATGAATGAACTGAATGACTGAATTTCTATTGTACCTTCCATTGATGCAACTCTAGGGCGTATACAGCTGGGAAGCCAGTGATGGAAAATTCCCTTCTTACGCTTGCAGTGACAAACAGTGGATTCTTCACTGATCCCTGGATCCACTCTCCCATCATGGATGGAACATGGAAATAAATTAAAATAAAAATAGCTGTTGATATTTTGCTGCAGAAGATCAGATAAATGAACATTTATTTATTCACAGCTTAAATGTTTGATCCCATTGTTCATCTTCTGCAGAGCAAAGCCCCCTGAATCTGAGTTGGGCTTCAGAAAAAACTTGCACTGTGGGTTTCACTTGAAACTGCAGGCAAATACCTGTATTGAGATGAGATATTACAGAAAGGTAGTATATTGGAATGACCAAGAGCATAGGGTCTGGTGCATAAGATAGGAGCTCAAGGCCTTCTGAGAAGCTGCTTAAACCTGAGGAAGTTCTATAGACCCCTCTGTGCCTCCACTCCCTGGTATGAATGGGGAAATGTTGATAATGGCCTATGTTATGTTAAAAGGTAAAAATAGTGAAGCAGACATAAAGCCTTAACAAGGTGGGTGCTTCCTAAGTGCCATAAAGTGCTTAACTAGTTTATGCCTGGAAGAATAAGCCAAGCCCTTGGTAGTGGTAAATACAGAGAAGGCGCTTAAGGGACTCCAGGACAGTGGAGGATAAAATTCTCTTCATTCTTGACATGGGTCCATGTTTTAGGAATTGGGAAAAATTTATGTTCTTTCCTGTGATGCCCACATTGGTTCAGAGAGATGGGCAGAGCAGGAGCTGCCACCCAGAGTTGACAGTTCAAGAAAGTGAAATAAAGAGATTTGAAGCTACCTGCCTTGAGTCACGATGCTGATGAATGATAGATCTTAAACAAATATTTGGTTGGTTTTCTGGGGACAGAGATCCCTGAACACCTGAGGCCTCTAAATCATAACCGGGACCCTGAACCTGGAGCATTTACCACTCCCTTTCTGAATCCTCCAGCACCAAGGGCTCTTCAGGAAGGCTGATGTCCTGGAAGAGGTGGCTGAGTCCAGAGAAGAGCTCAACCCATTAAACAAAACTCTTGTTTCTTGGTTTTAACTCCTAGGCTAAAATATGGCACTTTCCTGCAAACAAAGCCTTTTTGTGGAACAAATTTAAATGTCTGTTCATCCTACCCAGAGCCCAGAACTGTCATCTGTCTGGCAGTGAGCACCCCTCCATGATCAATTGACCACACAAAGGGACTAAGTTCTGCTTGGCTCTCAAGCCAGTTCAGAACTCAGGATATTCCAAACTACCTACCACCTGATGGCTGTGCCAAGAATAAACTTCCCTTTAACTGAATGACCCTGAATAAGCAATTAATGGGAATTAACTGAAAATGTGGCACCCAAGTTGGTGTTTCAGTGGTTTCTTCAATATTTACTCTATGGAAGCCAAAAAAAAAAAAAAAGGAAAAAAAGAAAGAAAAGGCCAGGCACAGTGGCTCAGGCCTGTAATCCCAGAACTTTGGGAGGCCAAGGTTGGTAGATCACAAGATCAGGAGTTCAGGACCAGCCTGGCTAATATAGTGAAACGCTGTTTCTACTCAAAATACCAAAGATTTTCCAGGAGTGGTGGTGGGTGCCCGTAATTTGAGCACTTTGGGAGGCTGACACAGGTGGATCATGATGTCAGAGTTCAAGACCAGCCTTGTCAAGATGGTGAAACCACATCTCTACCAAAAATACAAAAAGAGGCCAGTCATGGTGGCTCATGCCTGTAATCCCAGCACTTTGAGAGGCCAAGGTGGGTGGATCACGAGGTCAGGAGATCAAGGCCATCCTGGCCAACATGGTGAAACCCCATCTCTATTAAAAATGCAAAAATTAGTGGGGTTTGGTGGCAGGAGCTTGTAGTCCCAGCTACTCAGGAGGGTGAGGCAGGAGAATTGCTTGAACCTGAGAGGCAGAGGTTGCAGTGAGCCAAGATTGGGCCACTGCACTCCAGCCTGGCAACAAAGCGAGACTCCATCTCAAAAACAAAATGAAACAAAACAAAACAACAACAACAAAAAATTAGCCAGGCATGGTGGCACATGCCTGCAATCCCAGCTACTCGGGAAGCAAAGGTGGATAACTGCTTAAACCTGGGAGGAGGAGGTTACAGTGAGCCAAGATCACACCACTGCACTCCAGCCTGGGCGATAGAGTAAGACTCCATCTCAAACACACACACACACACACACACACACACACAAACAACCCGCAAATACTGGTAGAAACTAAACTTTTCCTTTTGTGATCTAGGAAACACAGACTGTCCATATGTTGATTCTACCAAAAAAAAATCCCTTAGGTAACCTTGGGTGTTGGGGACAGGGGGCTGGTGTCTGTGAAAGAGATAGGTTAAGAACAGAAACTTAGCATCCATGGTTATCAGGAGTCCTCAGAAGACAGCATTAATAGGTGCAGCACAGGTCATGTTTAGGACATAAAACTATTCTGTCTGGGAGATAAATGACATCATGAGATTGTCAAAACTCACAGACCTGACAACACAGAGTGAAAGTAGATGTTAATTCTAGTGTTCCATTAGTAAGAATGTATCACTATTGGTTCAGCTGTAACCTTGTAACAAGTGTTATCACATTCACTTAAGATGTGATCACAAAAGAAAACTGAGGAAGGTGAGTTTATGGAAATTTTCTTCCCTAATTTTTAGGTTAATTCAAAACAGTTTGAACTGACATCCATTAATTAAAATACCTGGCAACACTGTCTCAGGAAAAGATCCTTTTTACTTAATGTTTAATAATCAGCAAAATGTCTGCAAGTTGCACTGAGACGTTCTTTACTATTAAAAGGAAATCCAATTCTGGAATGGAAATGCACTTTTACTCCTGTAGCCATAGTACTAGTTGTTGTCTTTTTTTTCTGTTTTCTTTTAAACTAAGTCTTGTTCTGCAGCCCAGACTGGAGTGCAGTGGCATGATCTAGGCTCACTGGAACTCGCGGGGAGGCTTCCCGGGTTCAAGCAATTCTTCTGCTTAAGCCTTCCGAGTAGCTGGGAATACAGGCGTACACAACCACACCCGGGTAGATTTTTTTTTTGTATTTTTAGTAGAGATGAGGTTTCACCTTATTGGCCAGGCTGGTCTCGAACTCCTGACCTCATGATCCACCCTCCTCAGCCTCCCAAAGTGCTAGGATTACAAGCATGAGCCACTGGGCCCAGCCTAGTGATTGTCTTAATACATTTAAATTTGCACATATGACATAAAGAATATAGCATAGCAACTTTATAATTTTCTGAAACATGAGACACTGAAGAATCTAGAAACCATATCATGAATGAATTGAATGAATTTCCACAATACCTTCCACTGATGCAACTCTAGGGCATAAACGGATGGGAGGCCAGTGACGAAGAATTCCCTTCTTAGGGCTGCAGCAGCAGACAGTGGATTCTCCAGTGAACCCAGGATCCACTTCCTGTTCCTCGATGCAACATGCTAAGAAAGGAATTAAAATGAAGACAGTTGTTAATATCTAGCTGCAGAAGATTAGAGAAGTTGCACATATAACTGTACAGACATTACCTGTATTGAGATAAGACATTACAGAAAGGTAGTATATTGGAGTCACCAAGAGCATAGGGTCTGGTACATAAGATCTCAAGGCCTTTTGAGAAGCTGCTCAAACCTGAGGAAGTTCTATAGAACCCCTCTGTGCCTCCACTCCCTGGTCTCAATGGGGAAATGTTGATAATGGCCTGTTATGTTACAAGGGTAAAAATAGTGAAGTGGACATAAAACCTTAAGAAGGTGGGTATTTCCTAAGTGCCATAAAGTGCTCAATTATTTTATGTCTGGAAGAATAAGCCAAGCCCTTGGTAGTGGTAAATACAGAGAAGGCACTTGGGGGACTGCCCCCAGAGCTGACAGTACCAAGGAAGTGAAATAAAGAGATTTGAAGTGACCTGTGTAGAGTCAGGACACTGATGAAAGATGGATCTGGGACAAGTATTTGGTTGGTTTTCTCAGGATGGAGATCCCTGAAAAACTAAGGCCTCTAAATCATGGCCTGGACCCTGAACCTGGAGCTCTTTGCACTCCCTTTCTCAATTCTTTTGCACCAAGGACTGTTCAAGAAGGTTGTTGTCCTAGAAGAGGTGGCTGAGTCCAAAGAAGAGCTCAAATCATTAAACAAAACTCCTGTCTCTAGGTTTTAACTCCTGGGCTAAAATATGGCACTTTCCTGCAAACAAAGCCTTTCTGAGGAACAAATTTAAATGTCTGTTCATCCTACCCAGAGCCCAGAACCCTCAGCTGTCTGGCAGTGAGCACCCCTCCATAACCAACTGACCACACCAAGGTACCAAGTTCTGCTTGGCTCTCAAGCTAGTTCAGATCTCAGGACATTCCAAACCAATTGCCACCTGATGGCTGTGCCACAAATCAAATTCCTTTCAACTGACCCACCCTGCAAAAGCAGTTAATGGGAATTAACTGAAAATGTGGCCACCCAAGTTGGTGTTTCAGTGGTTTAGTGAATTAAATATTTAACCCTCAATGTCTCACTGGTTATTGTTCTACACACCCATCTGAGCAGCCTGGACTAAGGGCTGCCTGAGAGTAGGCAGTGTCTCAAGAAAATATATTGAAATAATGTAGAAGTCACATGTGATGAGAAGAGTACTCAAACTTATTTAGACATAGTGTTCAGCCATGAGTTGACATTAGAGAAAAGTAAACAAAATTTAGTAACTTCAATGGAAAGATACATGGCTCTTACTATCAGCATGAGATGTTTCCTGTTCATAGGAAACAATTCACAGATATCAAAAAGCTTGTGGGGAGGGGGGCAAGGCAGAAGTTAAAGCTGCTGCTGAAACTTTGAAGGAGACAGTTATCATCCTAGCCAAATAAAAAGATCTAGGTTTTCAAGGGGAAGAGAAACAGAAGGCAATGACGTGTGACCTGTAAAGAGATGTGGTACAAGTTGAAATTCTGAGGCATAAATATGAGAAGTTCTAAAAAGAAACAGATTTGAGAATAAACAATTATTACCTCTTGTAATCTCATTAAGAACAAATTATTGTCTAAAGAATAGTCTGCTTTTTAACCAAAGTTTTAGTTTTGCATTAGTGTATTTTTAATATTATAGCTAATTTTAATAAGACCTTATGAACCAATTTATCTAATGCCAGGCAGTTTCACTGCAAGGTAAAATTTTCATAAATCTTATATGACCTCTAATAACGTTTCCTATTTCTTAACTGTTTATGTCCTTTTATTGGATTTATCTTTTAAAAATTTTTTAAATTAAAAGAATTCCTCAAAACTTCTATATTAGGTAAAAGTGTTTCCCATTATGAAATTTATTTTTATTTTCTAAAAATCTCCTATTTTAAACTGCTCTAATATTTGTTTTCAGATTTTGACATCTGTATTCAGAAGACTTTGGTGTTTCATGGAATGTCTCATACTGTATTTGGTATCAAGTTTCTGATGAAGGCAGTGTTGTGTGTCTTCTCTACTCTATGGAAGTATGTGTAAAAAAAAATTGGTGTGGGAAATAGTACTCATTCCTAGAGAAAAAATTATATAAAACATGATAGAATGAAAAATATAAACTGAGTAGTAAAACTCTAAAGCATATTTATAAACCTGTAGACAAATAGGAATTGGGGAAATTTTAAAAAATCAGAATGACATTTAACATACAGGAAAACTGGCCCATCTGAAGAAATTACAGTCAGGAGATAGAAATGAACATACTTACCTCTGAGACAACAGTTAGAAGCATTCCCCATCCTGCGAGCCAGAGAAAATTTCCAAGCTGCTTTTACCTGCCAACTTTGGTTGCCAGAATAGCACCTGAAATCAAAGGCAAGACCTACATCATCAGATCACCTCAGCAACAGGTCACCATAGAATTTGTGTAAGCATACATGTCACAATATGGGGGCCCAACTGCTTGATCTAGACCAGACCATTTTCACATGGACAGGGGGTCACATAGACTGCATGTTTCATTTCAAAACTGAATCCCAGACCCACAATATTATTCTGTGTGTATGAAATAAACATTAAAGGAAAAAAATGATTTGCCTCCCAATATATATTTGATGGCAAAAATTTCAGGGTGAAGAGAGGAGAACCTAATACACGAGAATAAAGGGAGATTCCATGCTTGATCTGAAATGTCATTCCTACCCATTTCTACTATTCCTGAGTCACCACAGTCCTAGGTTCAACAATAAACTAGCTCCAAATTAAATTTAAAATGTATAAGTTCAGTTTTAAAGTTAATCTCTGATCATGTAATTCCTAGTAATTGTATAAAATCTTATCTACTATGTATATTACACCTCCTTTTTTCACTGTATGCAACTAAGTTTGCATACTGATTTCTGAATCTCTTGAGTTTATTTAGAGATTTCTCTGACTACACATATATATATATATATACACACACACACACACACACACACACACACACACACAAGGCAGGATATTGACAGATGAATAAGAAATCAGCACTGTGTGTTCATCATGGGTTGTTTGAAAATATATAAAGACTGCTTTTCTAAATGGAGAGTTCTGATAACCTCAAACTCTAGGATAAAATATGGATTCTGGTTCATCAGTCAACACCTGATCACACATTCCTATGCTCTGGCCATGAGAATTAGCACTTTGAAGGCAATTGAAAAACCCCCAGGACATAATGGAAATAAAATTTTTGGAAAACGAAAATTGTAATTTTTTTAAAAAGGTAGATACTACCCATTATGATATGAAATGAGGCTAAGCATGGTGGCTCACACCTGTAATCCCAGAAAATTGAAAGTAGATCACTTGAGGTCAGGAGTTCAAGACCAGGCTGGCCAACATTGGGAAACCCCATCTCTACTAAACACACACACACATACATACACACACACACACACACACACACACACTAGCTGGGTGTGGTGGCAAGTACCTGTAATCCCAGCTATTTTGGAGGCTGAGAAAGGAGAACAGCTTGAATCCAGAAGGCAAAGGTTTCTGTGAGCAGAGATCCTGCCCCTGCACTCCAACCTGGGCAACAGTACAAGACTGTCTCAAAGAAAAAAAAATAAATGTAAAATAATTCAGTACAAATTTCCATCAGTGTTGATTCATCATAAGTTTCAAAAATTATTAAATCAAATGGGTCATAGATTAGGTTAAAAAAAACTGCATTGACATATACTTTTTTTTTCTTGAGATGGAGTCTCACTCTGTCACCCAGGCTGGAGTGAAGTGGTGTGATCTCGGCTCACTGCAACCTCCACCTCCAGGGTTCAAGCAATTCTTTTGCCTCAGCTTCCTTATTAGCTGGGTTTACAGGTGTGTGCCACCACGTCTGGCTAATTTTTGTATTTTTAGTAGAGACGGGGTTTCTACTACAAGGTTTCAAGACCATGTTGGTCAGGCTGGTTTTGAACTCCTGACCTCATGATTTGCCCACCTCGGCCTCCCAAAGTGCTGGGATTACAGGCATGAGCCACCATGAACAGCCAATACTGCAATTTTTTTCAGTGATTATCTCATTGAAGGGGTGGTTAACAGGATTTGGGAAGGAACATACCTGTGAAATGGAGAATTTTAATTATCAACAACTGAATAGAAAAATGTGAGGGTGTGCACATATAAATATACACATATGTGTGTGTGAGAGAGAAAACAAAATTAAAAATCTAGACAACAGATTTATATCTCTTAATGCCAAAATGGGAAAGAAATTTTTAAAAACGGAATATATTAGGAAGAATACAAAGGAATGAGCATAAGGTTTTCCTTCCTGTTGCCACTTAAGTGTTCACAGTATATGAAAATAAATGAGCCCTTTACATTGGTAGTCAAAGCCCTTTTACAAAGCTTTGTCATGGTGTCAGCACTGCGTGATTGTTCAATTAATAAATCTAGAAAGATGTGCAGAAACTTCATTGTTGTTACTTCCAGAGGCAGAAACTGGCAGGCTGCAGAAGCAGGAAAGACAAGTCCAGATTTCAGTGTGCATTCTTCTGTACCTCATGAATGATCTGCAAGTGTGTTATTCCTGATGTCTTTACTGTGATTTTTTTTAAATAAAAAACTAATATCCCCAAATGCTGGTAGAAAACAAACATTTCAATTTGCTAATGCTTCATAGGGGCAGGAATTCAGGCAAAACACAGAAAAGATAGCTTATGGTGCGTGTTGATGTCTGGGGACTGCAGAGAAGTCTCACAGAGTGAGATGGAATCCACAGCAGGGGACTGGAATCATCTGGATGCAACGTCATGCTCAGGTCCACAGAGGAACTCGGGCTTGGCTGGAGAACTTACCAGGCTTCCCAGCAGCAGGCAGTCTTGGGACATTCAGAAAACGGCGCGTGTCCCAAATGAAGCAGGCAGATGCTCATGGCGTTTCTAACATAATTTTAGAAGTTACACAACATCACTTGACATCATCTGCCAGTGACAAGTAAGCACTA